CCGGTGCACAGTTTCTTTTTTCCGTTAGTATATTTATACAATAATTCAGCGATTAAAACAAGCTGCAGTAATAGTGCACATATAAATACCTAGAGTAATTTAATAAATATCCAATTTTTTGAGATTTGTTATTATTCATAAAATTTCAATTCTTAAATACTCATCTTTACTATACTGCTGCAAAAATCGTTTTATACATTGAAGATAACACGCTAAATTCCTTATGCTTTATTTACAACATTCATTCACAAAAAATCTTAAATCTTTACAACTCTGCTTCGATGAATGCATCAGGCAATGGAAAAAACTCTGCATTACCTATTGAATTATTTACATATTGAATATAACAGGCCTCCTTTTACTATTTGGGGTAGGTGGACGTTATCAGCCTTATTGGAAATAACAGAACACTGAAAATACACACGAGCTTCAATTACAAGAGATATGTTTTATCCCCTTGTACAAAATATCAATACGAGTTCGGAGATGCCACCAGTTCGTGTGTTGAAGATGCCACACGTTCGTGTGTTGAAGATGTCACTAGTTCGTGTGTTGAAGATGCCACCAGTTCGTGTGTTGTAGATGCTGTAATTTTTTCAACGAGGAAGCAGCTGTCATCTAGCTGTGTTGTATTTATATAGAATTAACCAAAACTATATTGATATTGTAGACGGATTTTCTCAAAGGAAAGACCATGTATTGTAGTGGTGCTATTAATAATGCAATACTATTCTACATTATCCTTGAAATATACTTTAAATAATTATACAGATAAAGGTTTGAAACATCACAAAAATATGTACAGCTATAACTATTACGAAAGTTATTTAAAATTCAAATCCGAGATCTAAGTTATATGAATCATAATACTTTTGCATCAAGTACCGATCATAACTACCTTCTTCAATTCGCCGCCACCGCAATATTTTCCAGTGATCAACTGTGCTTTATCGTTAAAAATACAAGTGACTGTCACCAGAATGATTTTAAACGTGACACATTATACTTTGCTGATTTGCCTCCATCGACACTCAACGCTTACGGCTTTCAAGTAATAACACTTTTTTTTTTAAATACGTTATAGTTATAGTTCATAATTACCTCTCAGTCCTGACCTCATTTATCATGCAGGGTCACACATTTCTATGACCAGGTAGACCATACATATTCACCATTGTCTTTGGGTAATAATTTAATAAATTAAATGTCTACTATTGATGCAAAAACATACATCGATTTCATGGCGTAAAATAAACTTTACGTTTAGACAGCACAATTTCGATGTATTTATTATTACTCTGTAAACATTTACATATTATTAGATCCGAACACCTATTACATATTGTCTCTTCTACTGATATATAACATGGGACCAGGGACAACTGTATTTTACACACAGTGGTCTCTTCTACAGATATATAACATGGGACCAGGGACAACTGTATTTTACACACCGTGGTCTCTTCTACAGATATATAACATGGGACCAGGGACAACTGTATTTTACACACCGTGGTCTCTTCTACTGATATATAACATGGGACCAGGGACAACTGTGTCATTTACACACCGTGGTCTCTTCTACTGATATATAACATGGGACCAGGGACAACTGTGTCATTTACACACCGTGGTCTCTTCTACAGATATATAACGTGGGACCAGGGACATCTGTGTCATTTACTCACCGTGGTCTCTTCTACTGATATATAACACGAAACCCGTGGCTATTAGTAAATTACTGGCTAGAGTGGCTGGATTTAAAGATCGTACAAAAGATACACAATTAAATAGCACCTTTTCATACATGCTTAACAGACGAGACGTTGTTTGGAGTAGTACATTGATCTGAAACGTGTATCTGTATCATCATGCAGGTAGTATTATTATTAGTACTACAACTATGACAACACTCCCCTTATATTTGAAGCTAATGTGTTGATGTGGCATATACATAATTCTGCATACTTGGTTCTGTTGATTGAACGAACAACTTCGAATTTATTAGTCAGGGCATGTCATCTATAGTTTTGATACTGTGACCAAGCAAATAAAATTGTCTCCCGAGGTCCGAGAATTAGAAAGAACACATAGATGTTTATATATTTATTCATCATCACTCTCCAACCAAAAGGTGGCTGTCCGTCCCCGTTAAATCTTTGACCTCGTGGATATGTCGTATTGTATATAAAGAATCAATTTTGATAATCCACAGACGTTCATAGTGTTTTATATTTGTAACGTTTGTAAATTGTAATTTGTAAAATTGGCATTGCAAGTTCGTACCTTTTTGAAGCAGGCAACAAAAAATGGCATGGGATGGGAATGAAGGTAGTGAAAATTGCCACACACCGGTACTTCGAGATAGTGGCAGGGAAGAAAAGGACGACGAAAATCATCTCAACTGGGACCAAGAAAGCAAAGATCAATCCTTCATTACAGAACTTCGTCGCAATCAGGTAACACGCTTCAATGTTGTACTGAGTGTTTCTATAGCATTCGCATACTCAATGTTGGTCTGTATTTATATGATTGTCTTTTTACTGTTAAATACGACCACGTACTACTACTGTCTAGAATATATAATAATTTACGATATTTTGGTTTGAAAGCCATAATCATTCCTTATCTAAAAGCGAGTCAGAAAAACGAAAGCATAATGAATATCTACACATCAATACCTTTGGAAACAAAAAAATAATATGTGAAACACTAGATACTTGGTGATGTGATTGAATTGTGTAGCAAATAATTTGTATATACAAAATGTAAATTTGATACTCCAACGGCCATTTCAAAATAAAATTGCCGTTCATTTTTTATTTGACCAATGGTGGTTAAGAGCTCAATCAGGGACGGCGTCTCTTGATATTCTAGATATTTCAGGTACAGGCATTGAAAAGGGCTCCAACTTTCTGACGTCAAATTTCACAGGCCGTGTTTTAGGATCTATACTTGGAGGATCTATTTACTTGAAAGTCTATCTATCTATAGTCTTCTGCTAGCTCTCATCCCCTGGTGCACTATGTATGAACTGATGATAACAGCATATCTGATTCTGGGTATCAGCAGCGGAACAATGTCTGTAGGTAGGACTAACATTTTAAACAATGGAATAAATGAAGACGTTTGAAAATTAATTTTACTTTATTTTGTAAGGTGTCACAATATGTTGCTATTAATCAACCTGATTAATAACAGGCAATTCGCACTCTGCACGCGCTTGATTGCGTTGTTTTCTGTAATTTTAATACACATTGATCAGTGCATAAGGCAGTGCAGTAGATACTCCAATAAACAAAAGTATTGACAGCGTTTGCAGTCTCAATATGGGGGACTGTGATGTTATAAAAATATATATTTTCTGCTGTATTATGGAACGCGCATCTTTAAAGTTCTGCAAGAGTTATCGGACTTGTTGTGATTTCCAGTTTGTTTACTTGTGTTTTTCAGTACAGCTAGGAGCTGTTTTACACAATTATCTTCATGTGTCATTTAGATCTAGTGCTAACCATTGAGTAAGTACCATGTAAGATGTATGTACATAACAGTAATTTAGTGCATTAACTGTGTCAAAGTCGATAATCTTACCTAGAACTGGGATTTATTCGAAGCGTGATTTGTAAACCGGAACACGTGTTTGCTTGGTAGGCCTTCTGATGCATTGAGATTTCTGTTATAAATCGAACATTTCATTAATTTCAGTTTCCTACCCTCTCCGGAGGTTCTGTGTGTGATACTGCTGTCCTCCCCGGAGACAACTCTTGCATGATAAACAGATAAATAAAAGTTTGAGACACCACAGGGACTATAAGAAGAGGACGAGTTCAATCAACCATGAATAGATGGGAAATGTGTATAATACTATGCTATTCAGAACTGCTGTAAACAATAGTTTATTTAATTTAAGAATTTACGAATTTAAAATTAAATTGGAGACTGCTTTTCTATTGTGTGTGACTGTTCGTCTACCTTCTGTTCATTCCGGATTATTTGAGTATGGTGTCATTTTTAGTGACGTGTGATTTCAAGGTAGTAGTCATTATTTGCTATAAAAACATGCTTTTACCTTTATACTTTTTAAAAAGGAGCAGTTTTTGTGATCATGGTACGCGGAATCCTTGGTTTGCAAACTGTTCGTGTAATTTTTTTATTCTCTATTGGTGATATTTTGCTTGCGTGTTATTAGTACTGAGTTTGAATTATGATTTCGTTGGCATGATTAAACTTTCTTAATGATATTTTCATACTTGTTTTTCGATATTTGTCACTAGATCATTTGTAGTCGTTATATTAATCTTCATAAAATATTGACAATGTTGATTTACTATTCCTATTTGAATTAGGAAAAAATTAAGTTAATGAAGTTCAAACGAAAGATTAATGTGAAGTATATTGTCATGAACAAACAAGTATTTTGTTTACTCTATTGTTATCATATTATCATGAATCACCTTATTAAATACCATTTTTAATACAGATGAAGTAGAGAGGCAAACTAATCCATGTTTAATTGCTCACAAAAAACATATTTAACCCCTTCTGGTGTGAATCAATATTTAAATAAACAAATTATTGCGGGGAAAATGATAATGCTGATAATTAGGAGTAAAAATACCCAAAATATTTACATTTTTAAAGACGGATGTATATATAAATGTAAACAATGTACGAGATTGTAATAGGTATCATATATTATGTTATTATTGGTCGTAATTACGATGTATTTATAGAAACTAGAATCAATAAAGAACAAAATAAAACATATCACGTATCAACGTTTGTTCTTTATCACTGCAAGTGTGTAGAAATATATAAACAACACATTTACAAAACTAATAAATGATTTACACATGCATAGCCATAAGAACCACACCATCGAAACCTCTTCCATCAAATATCCGCACAACACTGGACTTAATAAGAGAGTGATGAACGCCGTGGACATGATGTAAGCGGATACTTTAGCATTCATTGTAACAAAGTGTTCATTAGTCCAGCTAATGAATGTTGGCCAGACGACGCCTGCTGTGAAACCAATCATAAATGTTGAAATCCATAAACCCACTTCTAAATTCAGATAGGCACTGATTATCATGCAAACAAAACCAAGTGAAAATAACAACACAAATGTCAATAAAATCGTCTGGGACTGCATCATACGAACTAAAAATACTCCGACACATCTGGCGCTAAATTTTGCAAAAAAGTACACCGACGTTAATAATGATCCAGATGTTTTAGTCCAATTTAAATATTCAACACAAAATACTGTTAAATAACCGCTGAAAATAAAATCAACCGCTGTCACAACACCAGAGAAAATACCTATGTTAAGAAACTGAAGATATTTTACAAACTTTGGGAGATTCCCAACAAAGTTCAATTGTTTGTCATTCAGTGGCTTTTCTGTAACTCCTGAAGATGTTCTGTACATCACCATGAATGGAAAAGCGGCTAAAATAGCTAGTCCTCCTGAGATCGAATATGCAATGTAAAGTCTTGATTTTGGTTGTGGAAGTGTAACATTCATTTGGTGTCCAGTAGAATTTTCATAAATGAGGTATGACGTTGTAGGACTGACGGCATAATATTCAGAAGAAATGTTAATGTGACGTGTCTGAACGAGACTGCTTTCCTCTTTTTGTTGAATAAGAAATGGCGCAGTGGCCACTGGAGCAAGAAATGCAGAAATAGAGAAAATCGCATTGATTACTTGAAGATAAGAGCGTCCTCTAGTTGTCGGTCCCCAAATGGAAACAGCCTCTTTCGTTACCACTGCAAAATAAAAAAAAAGGTATTTGTAGGTATTGAAATGAGTTAAACATAATATGTTATTTAGATTAAGTTTGCTAAGAACAGCTTTGGAGTAGTAAGCTACCAATTTCGCTTTTTCATATTTTTATGTTCAGCGAGCAGCCTTTATACGACATCTGCATAAAGAGTGAACCTTTATATATGCCGATGTTAACAACAATAAATATCTGAATATCATTTAGAAAATATCATGTCGTTTTATTTCTAATGATGTTTTCAATGAAAAGACCGTTTCCCAGTTTAAAAACTGAACGAAACAAAGGGAATGAAAGGCTTATTTATAAATCATGAATTAAGAGAACTGAGGTGTCTTTGACTTCAGAGCATATACAAAAATATTGAAATTTTCGTATCCAGTTGAGTTCTGATGTTGTTTTCAGTGAGGAAGAACAATTTTCAAAATTGAAAAACAATCTGAAAAATGAAATGCTTAATAGATAAATAATGAACAAATAAAACGTAGTCAATAATTGGTCAGTTGTCAAACTTCTGATTGGAATATTAAATTCTACGATAGCTAAACTATCTCACCCACTAAAAGCACGCCGCCGGACATCCCATGAAGAACATGCGCAGCCATCATTACGTAGAAATCGAAACACCAAGGAATGGCCACAACAGTTGTAGTATTTGCCAATAAAGAAAAAACCAATAACATATATCTGTTTATTTTTGTTGATAAAAATCCTGCAAGGATTGGTCCAATCACGCGACCAGTAAAATACGATGTCATGAAAAACGATCCCTTTTCAACGTCACACCCGGAAATAACTAAAAGATCAACAAATGCTGGCCCAAGTTGTCCTTTTGTCCATCCCTAGAAATAGAATAATTGTTCAAATGAAAGGCATTGCTTGTATCATATTCTGAAAAACAAAAACTCATTTAAACATTCGCTATATCATTCTTTATCATTGTAACTACTTTTTTTATTGGCCAGACAGGTCATTTGTGACCAAATGTAAAAAAAACGTATAGCATGCTACAAGAAGTTTTTACACTTTTATTTCCATAAATATATTTATTTCGAAAACCTTACATAGACTTACAGTCCTGGCAAATTTAGACCGAAAATGGCCTAACCTCAAAGAAATTGCAACAGAATAGTTTTTATCAGTTTTGTCTAGGACAATGTCTAATGCATACAATATCAAAAGTCGCCATCAAATTTCCAACGGGAACATTTTTTTTTTCTGTTTCAAATACACCTATTAATTATCTGTCTTACTTGCATTTTCTCCGCTAGACTACGCGCATTAAAACGTAGTTTAACGGAGAGTAGGAAAACTACCATAGGCAATTCAGTTTACATGTATATCTTACTATCAATTTTTGGAATATCTCTTAGTTTATCCGTTTTGAAAAATTGATCGACCTCATCAACTGTTGTATCAAAAACTAAAAAGAAATAAAAACAAAAAAGGCTTTAACTTAATAAAACCTAAAACTCAAAAAAAAAAAAAAAAAAAAAGAGTAAATAAATAAATAAATTAAGATAATATGCGATACTACGACCCGATCCTAGATCCTAAATGTTGTTAGATTATGACCAAAGGGAAGTAAGCCATATCTGTTCAATTATTCAAAATTCAAAAGAACTATTAGTTGTCAGAAATTTTAAGATGTAACATCCATCACTCGTGTCTGACTTGGTTCTCCAAATATATTAATGGTGCTTCACACACTTCTATGAAGATCATAAAGACAATCGGTTTTTGCTGCCAAGCTTTATATTGAAGTAAACGCTTACCTTTCCGGAACACTCGGCCTTATTTTTCTTAAATATCTTTTTCTCCTATGTTGCCCTAGTTTCACCGAATATTAGTTTGAATTAAGATTCTGATGAGATGTCGGTATTTTCTTGTTCATGAAGATGCTAGTCTTACATACACTAAGTCTTCTGTAACCAGTTCTATTATCATTGCTTTTTAATAGAAAACTACAGAATTGCACGTTCATCTACTTCATACAACAGATAAATAACTCGAGTTCAAAAGTATTCTATATATTCTGTTTTGATTCTAAAGCTGACCTTATTGTTTTTCGAAGTGACACTCACCTGTATTCATAACAACTTATTATTTAAATCATTGGTGTAACAGCGTTTGATAATTGCTGTTTATATCAATTGGGAATTAATTGTCTTTCTGGTAACAAGTTAGCAAACGTATTTATAATGTCGGAACATAAACATTGACCTACCATTACAAAACCAAAACAAATGGTCTAATCCAGATCTTCATGCAAGAGTTTGATATTCTTTCTCTGTTAAAGTTTTCATAAATTGTCTTTTTGTATGAAATAGATGGTATATTTGTTTATACAAACCAATATGTTGAATGCCATGGATACACATATACTCAAGATGACCTTAAACCTTGTGTCTGTGTTGTGTTTGAGGTCTTGCAGAAATGGTGTCGACGTGTTCAAAGCCTCATTGCTGACACGTATGTCTTCAACCTTCTCTTCTTTTTTAACAGCCGTATCACCATTGAAGTCTTTATGAAGTGGAAGTAGTTCATGTTGGACTACCTGTACACCGTTCGCTGCAGTATTTGTCATGTTAGTTGGATGATAAAGTTATTCTTGATCTGTACAAAGAAGATATTCATATAGCCGATATAATGCTAAAAACAACAAAGTATTTTAATTGTTTTTCTTCTGAATTATTGTTATATATAGTAGTTGAATGTCTACTTTTTCGTTTATAAGAACACTGGTGATTTATAAATCAAAATGTTACGTTTTTATGTCTCATTCTGTTTTGAAATATAGTTGATAAATAAACAAAAAAGTGCATATTGTTAAGGTAACTAAAACAAGAAAATCCCTTTTTACGAAATGAATGATTAAAATCAGTTATACATTAATATTTCTAAATTCAAAATAACATATGAACTGGTGTACAAACCGATATCACGATTTCCTGTTTCCTGTATACTTTGTATATAAGCACAACATGTATATATCTTCAAATTCAAATATATACGATTAGCTCTTTAGCGAGACATGAATGTGAACCAATTGACTGATAAGCGTCCGAGTGTTCTTGACCTCAAGTGATTCAAAGCTAGGTCACTAGACTAAGTATATAGTAGAGTTGACAAAAGAGCCTACGCATAACTTGTAATTGTCGTCCGTCAGCAATTTTAGGGTAATCAAAGCTTCGATATATTAAGTAAATATATATTTTGCATATTAATAAAGCTATCAAACCAGTATATTGAAACAGTGGGGAGATACCAATAAACAAACACATAATATTTTTTAACCATATAATGTGTGCTTTCATTTTTCTTCATATTTTTCAATATTTTCACATATGCTTCTTTTTAAAGTAAAAAAGTATAAACACAATATGTTTAAAATTCGATCTGACCTTTAAAAGGATATGATAACATCATATATAGGTAGCCGAACTTGACATGAATGATGTACTGCATGGCGCTAAAAAGTGAAAAATATGGCGTACGCTACACGTTTTATAAACAGAACAATATGTGTCTACATTTCGATAGCATGTATCTACACGTATGTACAATGCATCCATTTTAAAACTTGTTAGTAGGTCAGACTCTAAAGCAAAATGCTTGCATTGGTAATGATCCTGTTGTCAACAAACTGATAATGTTTTCATATGAGAGTGATTTGATGTCTACAAACACTTCTATATTCAAAGATAAACCTAGAATATTTGACGTCATAACGCTAGTCTAACACTATGATAGGAATCCTTCAAACCATGTTCAAAATAGGTTATTGTTTACAAGCAAATTGTAACGATACTCTGTTATTACCACACAATGCAAAGTTCTTTATTGTCGCCAATTGGTTACTATTCGCTATTGTTAAAAATGTATCTAGTTCAGTCTTATATCACACTGTATATAGCTCATTTTGACATAACACAAGCATTGCAATTCATTGATATTTACCTCGACCCCTCTATTTTACATAATATACAATGTTCACTTTGATTCAACGTTATATCAAGCTCCCTATTATTCCATCCAGTTGTATTGTATCAAGTTTTTATTATACTGCATAGCATCACCTTCACGTTTATTAACAGTATATCGAGTTCACTACTATATTTTTCAATCTTGTGACAGTTTGTATCATGCTCACTATTATTAAACAGCGTATCAGAGTCAATATTCCCAACTGTATCAAGTTACAATAATTCAACTCTTAATCATGTTCATCATTTTTCCACACTATCAAATCATTCAACGCTATATCATGCTACTTTTATAGAACCCTGCATCAAGTTCATTATTGTCCTACACTGTTATTACACAACGTATCAACACCAGTATTGCAAACAGTATCAAGTTCACTATCATTCTAAAATGTATCAAGTTCACAATCATTCTACAATGTATCAAGTTCACACTCAATCCACAACGTATCAAGTTCACTATCATTCCACAATGTATCAAGTTCACAATCATTCCACAATGTATCAAGTTCACAATCATTCCACAATGTATCAAGTTCACAATCATTCCACAATGTATCAAGTTCACAATCATTCCACAACGTATCAAGTTCACAATCATTCCACAACGTATCAAGTTCACAATCATTCCACAACGTATCAAGTTCACAATCATTCCACAATGAATCAAGTTCACACTCAATCCACAACGTATCAAGTTCACAATCATTCCACAATGTATCAAGTTCACAATCATTCCACAATGAATCAAGCATTCCACAACGTATCAAGTTCACAATTATTCCACAACGTATCAAGTTCACAATCATTCCACAATGTATCAAGTTCACAATCATTCCACAATGTATCAAGTTCACAATTATTCCACAATGTATCAAGTTCACAATCATTCCTCGCTGTATCCTGTTACTTTTATAAAACACTGTAGTTCGCTACTATTCCACACTTTAGCATGTTCATTATTATTCCATGTTAAATTTAGCTCACTATCATACCACATTATTTTAAGTTAACAATTATTCCAAAGTGTGTCATATTCATTGTTAATACACATATTGCAACATGCTCCTTCTAACTATATATACTTTTTCTTGATGTCACTCAAGAGAAATCGTTGATATTAACGTCCATTATGTAAAGATACATGTATCTGGACGTACATGATCACTCAGGTGTGCTACATGATTCATTTGAAAAAAAAATCCCCATTCTCATGTTAATTTCTATTTCGCCTTTCCTTCTACAGCAAAAACAGTTTCTGCATCAGCTAAATATCATTTCATTAACATACTAATAATAGTAACTTAAATCACGACTTACAAAATGGCCTTTGTTTACGAGTCACTATCGACATGTATCGTGATATTTGGTCTCACATTTACATATCCCTAATGTGTGTAATTGTATCACAATATCGATTGCAGGGAGAAAGCTTTAAACAGACGCGCAGTGACATTTTCTGTTCTATATTTGGGACCACATGCTATGATACGGTCCAAAATAAAAGAAGTCAGTCGTGACCCATAGAAGACAGTGACCTGTTAAATGAACCGAAAGGCATACTTGAATGAAATTTCACATATGTGATAATGCGACTCTTGAGAAGTTTAAAGGTAAAGTCCTACGACGTCAATAACAAAAATAAAGGAAAATTTGAAATATTTGACTTTCATGGGTTTTTTTTCTCCTTCATCTAATTCAAACCTTCACGAAATGATAACGAACAATTAAATATTGGCTCATACTTACGGAATTGATTATGTAAGTGTTCGTTACATTGCTTGATTTCCAAACGAGACTTCCACTGTTAGATTTGTTATTTTAAAAGCATTATTGTTATCATTTTCTTTTATTATAAATGAGGATAAAAAACAACAAAAAACGATAATGTAAAAAGAAGGACAAATATCATTTATAAAAACATATATCATATCATAACTACACAAACTGGTACTGAAGTGTCATCAACAGTGTACAAAGATTGACTTACGCTTGTGAAATTCTAAATAATATCACTGTACCTGTTTCAATGGAGCAGATCTATAGACCCAATGATTTCTGTGTGTAGTCTACAGCACCTTTACCTTCGAGATCTCATCGTTTCAGTAGTACGGTATTGTTCCTTATATGCCCGCTAAACATGGTTGATCTTTGTAACCTCAACTGAGCTTAGTGGTAGGAAGTCGGAGGTCACTTGTGTTTCCCTCAGCACGGACAGGCAATGTTCATTTCTCCTTTCTATTGCAATGACTGCACAAATGGCACACAAGTTGGGTCAAAACTCTGGAACGAATTGACGAACAGCACAAAGCAAGGAGTACCTCGGAATCTGTCTAAGTAGTCGTCAACGATCTGGTGTTGTCACCCCAAGACAACAATATTAATTACTGTAACATACGTAACGTTTGCTTGAATTAAAACACATGCTTTGAGCTGATATCTTTTGTTATATAGACTTGTTACAATGGAGAATAGTAACAACATCACACAATATTAAACAAAACAACGTCAGCTTATATATGAAATGATATATTTTCAAAACATGTACAAAGAAAATTTCAAATTTGTAAGTTGTCCCTTTAATGTTACAGGGGTCATGTTTGTAAGATGGACATGGTGGTAAGATCTCCCAACGGACTATTGGCAAACCTATGAGAAACAACTGCACTCCTGCTGACTGACTTGTTTTCATTTCCATACGAGGCTGAATTATTGAAGAGCTTATCAAAACAGGTCACAAAGACCTTGCAAAGTCGTTTAGTTTCATATTCAATTATATATTAATGACGTCTTGTCCTTATATAAAAATATATATATTGACTACGTCCATCGTATATATCCACCAGAACTGGAAATCAAAGACACAACAGACATCAGCTGCTTATCTCGATCTTGCTATCAAGGTGTATGACAAACGTGATGATTTCAAATTCCTTATTGTGGATTTTCCATTTCTGGAGAGCAATACCTATGCATCTCCAATCTATAGTATTTAAATGTCACAGTCGATTCGATAGTCAAGGGCATGTTCCCATTATCACGATTTTCGTGCAAGAAGTCGTCAACTGACTGACAATCTCGTAACACAAGGGTTCAAAACATGCAAGTTGATGAGAATTTATCGTCACCATAGTGATTTCATTGAGACATATTCTATTCTGTTTGGGACATGAATATTGACGTATTTGTTTCTCGTTATATTGCCTGTTGGTTCCGTTGTTGTATACCTCATTTGAGAACGTGACATTACTTTCGTGACCAAACAAGTGTAACCCTCCCACAGAGAGAAACAATTGAAGAAAACCAGAAGGTGGAGAGTACCTGTCCTGGTCCCAGGCTTCGTGACAACGGTGCGTATAATACGCTGTCTTTGACCGAAGTGAGGAGCGATTTTGTCCCCTCATTTTTATAACAAATGTATACGTGACTGCCGAATTTGATGGATGACCGTGTTTGACCAAGGCTGTCAAACTATTACAAAATTTGAAACGTAACCCAGACATTCTGGAGCCAAAACAGTCAAATCCAAATACAAAGCCTACAACTCGGCTATAAGTGATGACGTACTCCAAGGTCCAGTCTTCCAGTGTAAACAAAAGAC